GGTAACAATGGTGTGGGTAGACTTACAACACCTAAACATTGTGGAAGATCTGGGACTTTATGGTAACAATTCATTGGTAACAATGGTGTGGGTAGACTTACAACACCTAAACATTGTGGAAGATCTGGGACTTTATGGTAACAATTCATTGGTTACAATGGGGTGGGTAGACTTACAACACCTAAACATTGTGGAAGATCTGGGACTTTATGGTAACAATTCATTGGTTACAATGGTGTGGGTGGACTTACAACCACTAAAAATTGTTGAAGACCTGGGAATTTATGACAACCATTCACTGGTTACAATGATGTGGATCGACTTACAACCACTAAACATTGTTGAAGATCTGGGACTTCATTAGAACAATTCATTAATTACAATGGTGTGGATGGAGTTACAACCACTAAACATTGTTGAAGATCTGGGACTTCATTAGAACAATTCATTAATTACAATGGTGTGGATGGAGTTACAACCACTAAACATTGTTGAAGATCTGGGACTTTATGACAACAATTCAATGGTGTGGGTGGACTTACAACCACTAAACATTGTTGAAGATCTGGGACTTTATGATAACAATTCATTGGTTACAATGGTGTGGGTGGACTTATAACCACTAAACATTGTTGAAGTTCTAGGACTTTACGACAACAATTCTTTGGTTACAATGGTGTGGGTGGACTTACAACCATTAAACTTTGTTGAAGATCTAAGACTTTATGACAACAATTCATTGGATACAATGGTGTGGGTAGACATACAGCCACTAAACATTGTTGAAGATCTGGGACTTTACGACAACAATTCTTTGGTTACAATGGTGTGGGTGGATTTACAACCACTAAACATTGTTGAAGATGTGGGACTTTATGACAACAATTCATTGGTCACAATGGTGTGGATGGACATACAACCACTAAACATTGTTGAAGATCTGGGACTTTGTGATAACAATTCATTAGTTAAAATGGTGTGGATCGACTTACAACCACTAAACATTGTTGAATATCTGGGGCTTTATGACAACAATTCATTGGTCACAATGGTGTGGGTGGACACTCAACCACAAAACACTGTTGAAAATCTGGGACTTTACAAACACAATTTATTGGTTACAATGGTGTGGGTGGACTTACAACCATTAAACATTGTTGAAGATCTGGGACTTCATGATAACAATTCATTAGTTAAAATGGTGTGGATCGACTTACAACCACTAAACATTGTTGAATATCTGGGACTTTATGTCAACAATTCATTGGTCACAATGGTGTGGGTGGACATACAACCACTAAACATTGTTGAAGATCTGAGACTTTATGACAACAATTCATTGGTCACAATGGTGTGGGTGGATTTACAACCACTAAACACCGTTGAAGATATGGGACTTTATGACAACAATTCATTGGGATTTGAAATTGTGACCTGCAGATTGTGAGTCCAAGGACAAGCTGAGAAGCTAACAGAATCAGTTAACAAATGTTTCAACTTAAATTGAAAGCCAGATAAATTGTAGTAGTTTTGAAATATTGTATGTATTTAACATAAATATTTACATAAATTAGTTTTCAGATGATGAACAATCTGAGAAAAAATGAAGGTTACTCAAGCTCAGTATGCAATTGAAAATGGCTCTTGCAGTTGATGTACGATTTTTGACATTATCATTACTTTACCCTAAGCTATATTGAAAACATCCAATTGTGATTTATTGCTTTTCGTAAAAAGATAGGGTCCAAGATGCTGTAATAAAATCATCAAATTGAAGTACAGTAGTTATGAAAAGGTTTAAAGCTGAGGCTCTTACAATAAATAATCATAATTGTCTGCAGTAATTAATAAAAATATTTTTTAACTTTTAATTTCATTGTATGCTGACAATGTCAATACAGTTGTGGTAATTTTATATAAAGTATGAGATAAAATATTGTTACGTCTCCGTTTGTTAATTAACTTTCTGTAACATCGTTCGACTAAACTTTAGCGACACAAGTCCTTACTTAATAAAACTGGTTTATTCTTTCCGAATATAACTTTACGATACACTTAATTTCAACAATCGCACTAAAACAAACGCTATAACAATGAACGTGCTCAATAATACTCTCTGACTGCAGATCAATTACTCACTGTCTACACACACATTAATTCGTCACGTTGTCACCCTCTTTGGTATATATATATTTACTAGATATAGGGTAGTCTCTCCCGACTATTCCCGAAGGTTCGAGAGGTGGCGTGACACTAGTCATGTGACCTCGCTGACGCAACACATCCTTACCTTTATGGGGCTATGTTTACCATTAGGACAGACCATGCTGCATTAGGCTGGTTAAGATCATTAAAGAACCCAGAGGGACAACTGGCACGTTGGATCGGAAAGATAGACAAGTATAATTATGATACTGAATACAGAGAAGGAAAATCTCATGGAAATGCCGACGGACTGAGCCAAAGATCCTGCAAAAATTACTGCAGACATTGCTGCAAAAGAGAGGTTGAGCTAACCAGGTGTCATTCAAGCTGAAGTCAAAATGACTGAAGGAGTTGATGATGGTGAAGTAGAACCAAGTATAAATATTAAAGCAGAACATGAGAAAGACCAAGATTTGAAGCCAGTAATTGTTTTCCTACAAGCAAGTGTTTTGCGACTTGCTTGGGAGAAGGTGTCTAGTTTAAGCCCTGTGACAAAGAACTATTGGGCACAATGGGACCAGTTGAAGCTTGAAAATGGTATTTTTCTCCGGAGATGGGAAACTGCAGATGGGAAAGTGTTAACACAGCAAACGGTTATGCCGATAAAGTTATGGGAAATTGTGCTGTGTCAATTCCATGACAGTTTAACAGGAGGACATCTTGGAGTTAAGAAGACATTGAGTCACCTACATTAGAAACTTTACTGGATAGGCAAGATGTGGAAGAATGGTGCAGGACCTGCAGTACATGTTGTGGTAAAAGGAGACCCAGGTATAAATGACGTGCTCCAATGAAGTTATATCAAGTTGGCACACCAATGGAAAGAGTAGCCATTGACATTGGTGGTCCTTTGCCCCAAACTCGTGCTGGAAACAAGTACATTTGTGTGGTGATGGATTATTTCACCAAGTGGCTTGAGGCATAGGCAATACCAAATCATGAAGCTACAAATGTAGCTTCGGCTATTAGTGATTTATTCTTCAGATTTGGTATACTGTAACTTTGAATCAGCTGTCTTCCATGAATGCTGCAAGTTGTTTGGCATCCGAAAGACCAGGATAACGCCACTTCACCCACAGTCTGATGGGATGGTAGAAAAGTACAATTGGGTGCTGGGACAGGAATTGGCAAAGTTTTGTAATAGCTGCCAAGATAACTGGGATGTCTTACTCCCTCCACTCTTGATGGCCTATAGAACAGCAGAGCATTAAGCTACTGGATACACTCCAGCAAAGCTGATGTTTGGTCTGGAACTTGGGTTGCCAGTGGATCTCATAACAGGATGTCCACCTTACGAAGAGTTGCCCGAAAAGGTGTCAGAGTTCGTGAAAGTGTTATCTGAAAGGATGGATGATATTCACCATCAAGTGTTTTCAAACTTGAAAATGTCTGCTGATTCCATGAAGCTATAATATGATAAGAGATCTACTGAAGTCAGCTTTGTACCAGGAGACAAGGTGTGGTTGTATAATCCCAGGAAGACCATGAGGAAGTTTCCTAAGTTGTATTCTCCATGGGAAGGCCCATATGAAAAACTTTTGAAAAGTCTGATATCCTGTAAAATTCAATAATTTAAAGGAAGAAGAATTTTGAATTTTCTGCGAAGCTGAATAATTCTGATGTTCAAAATACGGTAGAAGAATTACTTGTAATTAAACAGAAAGCTACACAATAGGCTATCTGTGCTCTGCCCACCACTGGTATCAAAACCCTGTTTGTTGCTGTTACGTCTCTGTTCGTTTGTTAATTTCCCGTAGAAATTCTTCCCCAGAAACTTCAGCTATACAAGTCCTTTCTTAGATAAAACTAGTTTGCAATACACTTAATTTCCACAGTCACTTTAACTTAAACACACGCTATAATTCACAACGATTCACGCACTTAACCTACGATCACTACGCCCCTTTACTCAATTATCTGTCTCTATATCTCCCTATCTGCCCTTATTTGCCGAGCTTATATTCCAAAAAAGAGGGCGTTTAGAAAAGACTAGAGTTGACAGGAAAAGTCAAGTAACACGTCATGAGCTTCTAGAAAATTCATGTCCCTTCGTGAAGCCTCGGGTGTTTACTAGATATGCGGTATTCTTGTATATAAGACCGC